TCCCTGCCTCTTAGTTCTTATGACTTCATGGACCCATTAGTACTAGAAATGAGTGTAGCTGATCAGGGTACTTGGTGGAGTCAATGGCAGGCTCCTGGAAGAAAATCATAGCAAACACTCATTGAATGCCCCCTGAGGAGAAACACTCATTGGAAATAATTTTTATCTTCTTTTGTAATAATTGCAACTTTATTACTAGGATTTGGTAGACTGAACACCCAATCATAAGATACAAAATGGCCACGCAACCTGACCTGTCCAGCATGAATTAGGTGTTACTGAACCCACAAAATCATCACATGTTGTCAGCAATACTCCATCATGAAGTCAATGCAGTCATCAAGCTGCATAAGGAGAAAACTCAAATTCTCACCATCTCTACTCTTTTTGTTTTGTTTTGTTTTTTCTTGAGACAGAGTCTCTGTCTCAAGTACAGTGGAGTACAGTGGAGTACACTCTGGAGTACAGTGGCGCTATCTCAGCTCACTGCAACCTCCACCTTCCAGGTTAAAGGGATTCCCCTGCCTCAGCCTCCCGAGTAGCTGGGACTACAGACATGTACCACCACACCCAGCTAATTTTTTGTATTTTAGTAGACACGGAGTTTCACCACATTGGTCAGGATAGTCTCAATCTCTTGACCTCATGATCTGCCCACCTCAGCCTCCCAAAGTGCTGAGATTACAAACTTGAGCCACCATGCCTGGTCACCATCTCTACTCTTACTGTCCTGCCTCCTCTCCCTCATAAAGTCTCATGAGAATGACTTTATTACCACTAGACTGAGGAAGAAAACATTCGGACTTGGTTTTCATAAACATGATACGTTATAACCATGCAGAGGTAGACCGATGTAGCATTTCATGACAGTCAGGGTGTCCCTGATGGGCAGTAGGAAAGATTAATCCTCCCAGCCAGCACCAATCCCACCATGGTTGGGACACTGTCTTTCAGGATGTGGTATATGCTTCAAACCAGCATCTAGTACATGATGCTAAGTCTCTCAAAACCAAAAATACATGAGCCTGGGAGCAAGGAGTGAAAGTGGCACCTTGCTATTATACCTGCTGTCTTACTCATATTTTTGTTTTCCATCCCTGGAGCTTTGGTCTCCGATTTTTTAGAGGTTTCAATACTAATAATGTCCCCAAGATTAATTGTCCCTTTCTACATCTGAATTACAGAGTACCCTAAATATTTAGCACATGGCTGCCCAGTTAGAGACTACATGTTACAATTTTTCATTGTATCTATTAGGTAGTCATGTGGTTACGTTCTGACTAACCAGGTGTGAGCAGAGGGATGCATGCAACTTTCAGGTCAAATCCTTAATAATGAAAAATGCCTGAACTCTACTGAACTTTCCATATTCGTATGTAGAAATACATGCAAAGGCTACAGATGGAATCAAGTGAGCCAGTTCTGACCATGCCTACAAAACCCTAGAGCCCTAAAGAGCAACCAGACAGAACAAGAATGAAGCCCCTAGATAATCTTATAAAGCAGAGATACTTTTATGCCCTAAACCATCTGCCAATACTGGACTCATGGGAGGGGACAATAAGATCTTGTTTAAGCTACCGTATTTCATAGTTTCTCTGTGGTGGCAGGTTACCTTGTTCTGTAACTAAAACAGTACCCAAGGGAGTAATGTTCTCAGCCAAAAAAAAATAAAAATGATCCCACTGCACTAGCAGATGGCATTGTCACCTGGTCATTTGGGAGTCCACATGTTTCCGAATTGACAAAGGAAAAAGGGATGTTACTGTTTTAATGGGTGATTAATACATCTTACGGGGAAATAGTCATTGCTATATTGTGAAAACAGAAAGAATATTCTGGAAAATGCAATGCTCTGGGCAAGGTTACTTCCCAATCCTGCTACCTAGGAGGAATAAACCCTGATTTGCTATGTGTCATCTGAAGGAAAGGGAAATTTAGAATGGGTGGTGGTGTGTGGTTAGTTTTATACATCAACTTGACTGGGCCATGGGGTGCCCAGTTACTTGGTCAAACATTATTCTGAGTGTGTCTGTAAGGGTGTTTTTGGATAAGATTAATATTTGAATTGTTAGACTGAGTAAAGCAGATTACTTTCTATAATGTGGATGGCCCTCATCCAATCGGCTGAAAACTTGAACAGGACAAATTCTGACCCTCCCTTGAGTAAGAGGGAATTACTTCTGTCAGACTATTCGAGCTGGGAAGTTGGGTTTTCCAACCTTTGGGCTCAGACTGAAATGGCTCTTTTTGGGTCTCAAGTCTGCTAGCTTAGAACACTGGTTCTTCTTGTTCTCAGACCCTTTGACTTGGTCTGGTGCTACACCATCAGCTCTTTTGGGTCTCTAGCTTACCAGCCAACTGAAGATCTTCAGACTTCTCCACCTCCATAATAGCGTAAGCCAATTCTTCATATTAAGTCTCTCTCACCATTCCCCCCTCCACTCTCTGTCTCTCTCTCTCTTTCTTACTTTAGTGAGAGATAATAGAACTATAAAATTCTATATCAAGAAAGCCAGAGTGATTGATTTCTGCAGAAAGAGTTAGGCGCATCAGTGTTAGTTATCAACAACTTATCAAGGTCGATGAAAGTTGAAACGGGATCACTGTTTGTGTTATTATACAATCACATGTGACAGCTGCTGTTCACTTGCTAAGGAGTTAAGGAGAAGAGTAGATTATTTAGGGTTGAAGAATGCAAGGATAGAAAAGCATAGAGGATAGAAACAGTTTCTCTTAAAGAGGTTTTTGGCTAGAAAGTCACATGATAGGTCAGTGCCGCAAGGGAATGGCATGGCTAAAGGAAAATCTGTTTTATTTTCTGTTACAAATAAGAGACCTGGGCCTGTGAACAGAGAAAAAGGGGTGAATGGGGAGAAAGACATGGAAGATGCAGTAGAAAGGGAGCATAATTAATAAAGAAGGGTTCAGAAATAATAGAGAAGAATTAGGATGAGAAGCTGAGCTTCTGATTTTCTAATCAGAAAATAGAATTATTTTTTCCAACAAATTTCACTGTATAGATTTTTAAATTAATGTAGCCAATATATCTCTTAAAAGTAAGTTTCTCTACTTTCTCTGCTCATCAAAAGGCATACTGAAACATACTTTTGTTGTTGTTATTTTTGTTGTTACAATGATGCTAGGAAATTGTGTCTTACTATTCACATTTCTAGGGAACAAGAGTTCATTGCCAGTCTAATTAAAATTCGGAACAACTCTGTATGTTTTTGAAACAGCATTGAAGAACATTTCATCTGGAATGCACCTTGCAAGAGAATGTTGAATTCTTTACTCTTCATTTAAATTAAAGTTTTAAAAGAGGTCAGGCACAATATAAGCAGAGGAATACTAATTGAAAAAGCAACTATAAAAAATTTTTTGTCTTCCAAATATACTTCAGAAATAGTTCACATAAATTGCATAGTTCAAAGATACTTTTTCAAAGTCTACACAAATTAATTAGTAACAAAATATTAGTTATTTGTATTTATTGAACCGAATTTATAAACAGAATACATCTCACTGCTTCAATAAAATCATAGTATCACTTGTCTTGTCTTAGAACACTAGTTTTCTCTTTTTATCTTGGATTATGCAGGTTGATTATTCAAACTAAATTCCACAGATACTTTTCTTTTCTTTTCTTTTTTTTTTGAGACAGAGTCTTTCTCTGTCACCAGGCTGGAGCTCAGTGGCACAATCTCGGCTCACTGCAACCTCTGCCTCCCGGGTTCAAGCGATTCCCCTGCCTCAGCCTCCTGAGTAGGTGGGATTATAGGTATGCATCACTATGTCCTGCTAATTTTTTGTATTTTAGTAGAGATGGGATTTCACCATGTTGGCCAGGATGGTCTCGATCTCCTGACCTTGTGATCCAACCCCCTCAGCCTTCCAAAGTGCTGGAATTACAGGCATAAGCCACTGAGCCCGGCCAATACAGACACTTTCTTTACATCATTTTGTGATTCATCCTTATAATTTAGTTTTCAGTCAATGACTTAAAGACAATGTGGTTTCTCATTAGCCATGAAGAACAAAATATTCTGTGAATCACACTTTTGGGGCCTTATGGACAAAGAAGCTATTATATTTGAGTTCTTCTGAGATTTCTTCCAAGAAGCCATAGTCTTGACTAAATTATAAAAGGAAATCCACAAATCAGAGTGGAACAAGAGCTTCAGAGAAAAGCAGTATTAGTTCCAACACTGGAGGACTTCCACTTGACTTTCAAGTTACCCATGGTCTTTCCATCTTTTTCTTTTCTTTTTTTTTTTTTTGAGATGGAGTTTCACTATTGTTGCCCAGGCTAGAGTGCAATGGTGCAATCTTGGGTCACCGCAACCTCCACCTCCCAGGTTCAAGTGATTCTCCTGCCTCAACTTTCCCAGTAGCTGGGATTATAGGCACCGGTCATCACACTCAGCTATTTTTTTTTTTTTTTTGTATTTTTTGTAGAGACAGGGTTTCACCATATTGGCCAGGCTGGTCTTGAACTCCTGACCTCAGATGATCCACCCACCTCAGCCTCCCAGAGTGCTGGTATTACAGGCATGGGCCACCGCACCCGGCCAGTCTTTCTATCTTTTAAAGACAATGGACTAACAGAAACTTTAATGAAAACCTGGCATCTGAGACAAATTTTAAGCTGAGCAAATAGTGTATTCAAAGATTGCCAAATCTCTGGAGATTTTAAAAGACCTTCATTTTTCTCTTACTGGAAGAACTATATATATACAGTTTCTATACACTCTATAGTTAAATACAGTCTATATAGCATGTATAGGCTAAAAAAAAAAATACTAATCATCTCTGCAGCTAGTATTTCAAAAGATGGTCACCAAAAAATCCACCTTCTGGTATTCAGACCCTTATGTAACCCCTTCCTCTAGAGGGTGGCCCAGACCCAGTGACCTGCTTCTGATGAACAAAATACAGTAAAAGCGATAGAAGATCATTTCATCATAAAAACAGTGGCTTCCTTTGTGGTGCTTTCTTACCTCCTCCATCCTGCCGTCTGAGAGAAGCCAGTGGCCATGTTATAAAATGTCCCATGGAGAGGTCCACGTGGCATGGAACTGATGTCTACATCCAACAACTTGCAAAGACCTGAGACCTGTCAATCATCACAAGAATGAACTTAAAAGCTGATCCTCAGTCAAGACCTAAGATGATTATAGCCCCAACTCACAGCTTAGTTGCTGCCTTGTTTTTTGTTTTTGTTTTTGTTTCACTCTTGTCACCCAGGTTGGAGTGCAGTGGCGCTATCTCGGCTCACTGCAACCTCCGCCTCCTTGGTTCAAGCGATTCTCCTACTTCAACCTTCCCAATAGCTGGGATTACAGATGCCCACCACCATGCCCCACTAATTTTTTGTATGTTTAGTAGAGAAAGGGTTTTGCCGTGTTGGTCAGGCTGGTCTCAAACTCCTAACCTCAGGTGATCCACCCACCTCGGCCTCCCAAAGTGCTGGGATTACAGGCATGAGCCACCATACCTGGCCAGGTACTGCTTTGTGTTTAAGTGACCCTGAGTCAGAGACAAATAGCTAACCAGGTATTCAGATGCCTAGCAATACATTTGTTGTTTGACGCTACTAGGTTTTGGGGTAATTTGTCACACAACAATAGATGACTAATACCATGTGTGCATTCCTAATATTAGACCTATCCTTGATATAAGCAAGGCATTTTAATGGATTTTAAACAATTTTTTGACTCCAGGCACTGTTCTAAGTGCCTTACAACTATTAACTCATTTAAGTGCTGCAACAGCCTATGAGGTAAATTCTGTTACTAATTATTTTTGGTAGATAAAGAAACAGACATCAGATGATCAAAACACTTTTCCTATGGTCAATACTAGAAAGTGGTGAAATTAGAGTCCAAGCTTTTAATTACTATGCTATCCTGTCTCTACAAGTCAATAAATGTTGGTTATCTTCATTGTTATTAGTTAGACTCTTCCTTCAAAATAAATCCTTTTTTGTTGTTGTTGAGACAAAGTTTCACTCTGTCGCCCAGGCTGGAGTGCAGTGGCATGACCTCGGCTCACAGCAACCTCTGCCTCCTGGGTTCAAGTGATTCTCCTGTTTCAGCCTCCTAAGTAGCTGGGACTACAGGCAGCCACCATCATGTAGGGCTAATTTTTGTATTTGCAGTAGAGATGGGGTTTCACCATGTTGGCCAGGCTGGTCTTGAACTCCTGACCTTGTGATCAGCCTGCCTCGGCTTCCCAAAGTGCTGGGATTACAGGTGTGAGCCATCATACCTGTTCCAAAATAAATTATTTACAACTTTAAGCAGTTACCTTATGAGTTCATCAAGCCAAGGGAGACTATAAGCGAGTAAGACCACATTTTATTCATATCTGTGTGTTCAGCTTACTACCTAGCATACGTTCAGGAAATGTTTGTTGAAAATATTTATTTAGAGGATGGAAAAGGAGTAAGGTCACGTAAAGAAGAATTCATTCTTTGTGAAATGGAATATCCTAAAGGCTTTATCTATAATTATTGCAACCTAGCCTACAGGAGAAAGTCCAGCTATGTATTTACATGCATGCATTTTCCAGCTTCTTTTTTTTTTTTTTACTGGCATTTTGTGCAATAAAAAGAAAAGTTTTAAGAGCTAGTGGATGGCAACGTAATTTGTGGTCACTGGAAGTAATATGGGAACCTCAGAAACTTGCCTGGGTGTTGTGAGACCGCACTATCGCTGTTAGCATTCATACTATGTCACATCAGCATTTTTCTTTGAAGCTGTGTAAAGTGGTTCTGGATGAAGCCTCCTGAGTTTGTTTTACAGACAAAATGCAAAATCACTTCCAAGCAGAGCATGAATTGCACTGGGCATGCATAAAACTGGGACAATTCTTCCCAACGATAACTGCTTTTTTTTTTCTCAGAAGAAACAGAGCAATGACAGGAAGAAACCAAGAGGGGAATAAGATGAGTCACCCCACCCTTACCACATGGTACTACATCTGGCCAGTCATTTGAACTTCACCTTTCCTTACTAAGAAATGCTCAAAAGATATGGTCAGAAATAGCCCTCAAATCACCTGAAAAGAAGAATCCCCTGCTTAATATTATATTAATAACATTAAAGAAACCCTATAGAAAGTACAGAAATGAGATGTGTATTAATCCCAGCATAATTACCAATATATATTGTGACAGTTTGGAAACATGGTGGTTATTTCTGCTATAGTGAACTTACAAAATGAAATATCTCAAAAGGACTTCAATAATGTATATTTTCACTTTCCATATTTACTACCATGTTTTTGCACATATTCAAAGATTTTATTATCTGGATTTTTAGTAAGATACCATAAAGAGGTCATCCATGTGCATTGCTTTATACTAATAGTAGCATAAATCATACTATCAGACATATTAGTGGAATAATAAACCAAAAAAGCAAAAGAGAATATGTAGCAAAAAAATTAGTGGGGAAAAGGACAGCTGTTAGAACAAACTCTGCCTCAAAATAAAATATATTCATGTGTCACTTAATGAGGATATATTCTGAGAAATTTATCATGAGGCAGTATTGTCATTACACAAACAACCTAGAATGTACTGACACACGTACTACATGCCTAGACTATAGGGACAATCTATTGCTCCTAAGCTACAAAGTTGTATAGCACGTGACTACAACATACCATAGGTAACTGTAACACAGTGGTAAGTTTTTGTGTTTTTATACATAAAAAAGATACAAGAAAAATTAAAGGAGTATTAAAGTATAAAAGATACTGCAAAAATTAAAGGAGTATAACAGTATAAAATACAATAAAAATACAGGTACACCTGTATGGAGCCTAACATGAGTAAAGCTTGCAGAACTGGAAGTGGAGCTGGGTGAGTCAGTGAGTGAGTGGTGAGTGAATGTGAAGGCCTAGGGCATTACTATAACCTACTGTAGAGTTTATGAACATTGTATACTTAGGCTATAGGAGATATATTTTTCAAATATTTTTCTTTCTTCAATAATAAATTAACCTTAGTTTACTGGAACTTTTACTTTATAAACTTTTTAATGCTTTAAACATTTTGACTTTTATAATAGCATGATTAAAACACAAACAGTGTACAGCTGTACGACAAAATTTCTTCCTTTATATCCTTATTCTATAAGCTTTTCCTACTTAAAAATACTTCATTTTTTTCACTTTTTGAGCTTTTTCGTTAAAAACAAAGACACAAACACAGATAAGCACACATATTAGCCTAAGCACATACATGACCCTGATCCTACACAGGATCAGGGTCATCAATATCACTGTCCTCCACTTCCACATTTTGTCCTCCTGCAAGGTCTTCAGAAGCAATAGTCCATATGGAGCTCTCATCGCCTATGATAATAATGCCTTCCTCTGGAATACCTCCCGAAGAACCTGCCTGAGGCTGTTTCACAGGGGTGTGTGTGTGTGTGTGTGTGTGTGTGTCTGTGTGCACACGTGCGCTCCAAAAAAAAAATAATATGGTATAGTAAATACTAATTGATAGGAATGTTTTAGCTCCATTATAATCTTACATGATTGCCATCATATATGTGGTCCTTTGTTAAGTGAAAGGTCCTTATACAGTGCATGACTGTACTAAAGTAAGTTGCTAAATACTGTGTTTCTTATCAATAAAATCTTTGCTTCACTAGACCAGTGTTATACATAACTAATATTATTAAATAGTCTTTTTTTTTTTTGAGACTGAGTCTTGCTCTGTCACCCAAACTGCAGTGCAGTGGGGTGATCTCGGCTCACTGCAAACTCTGGCTTCTAGGCTCAAGTGATCCTCCCACCTGAGCCTCCCAAGTAGCTGGGACTATAGGCAGACACCACCACACCCAGTTAATTTTTGTATTTTTTGCAGAGACCAGTTTCTCCATGTTGCCCAGGCTGATTTGGAACTCCTGAGCTCAAGCAATCCACCTGCCTCAGCTTCCCAAAGTGCTGGGCTTACAGGTATGAGCCACCAGCCTCAAATAATCTTATAGTTTACAAAGTGCTTTTATATTTATTTTAATTCTCACATGGGTCATGAACTACTGTCTACTATTTATCTACAACAATGTGGGTGAGCTTGGAGGACACTACGTGAAGTAAGGCAGGCACAGAAAGACAAATACCAGATGATCTTACTCATATGAGTAAGCTAAAAAATTTGATCTCATAGAAGTAGAAATTAGAAGGGTGGTTGCCAGGGCCAAGGTTGTTGGGGTAGAGGGGAATGCGGAGAGGTTAGTCAAGACACAAAATTTCAGTAAGATAGGAAAAATAAGTTCAAGAGATCTACTGTAGAGTATGTTGACTAAAGTTAACAATATATTCTTAGAAAATGCCAAAAGAGTGAATGTCAAGTGTTCTCACCACAGAAATAAAACTATGTGAGGTAATCCACAGGCTAATTAGCTACTCATCTGCAATATATACGTACTTTGAAACCATACGTTGGGCTTATCATGGCAGCTTATGCCTATAAACCCAGAAATTTGGGAGGCCAAGGTGAGAGGATTGTTTGAGGCCAAGGAGTTTAAGACCAGCTAAGGCAACACAGCAAGACCTCATCTCTACAAAAAAACTAAAAACAAAACCAAAAAAAACCATATGTTATACACAGCAAATACAGTCTTATGTCAGTTATAAAGAAAATAGTTTTTTGAAAAGCAAAGTGACTTGTCCCTAACCATGATATTTTAAATTTTCAAATCTCATTTTTATCTCTTATGCCATGTTGCCTACAATTATACATCTAAGAATTATCCTATGCTCAGAAGAAATAAAACAAGTGTACTTAGTAATTAATAATATATCTTTCCCTTAAAACAGGTATTGCTGACCTAACATGCATAAAACTGCTGTCACTTATCAAATATGACCAATGAGTAAAGGTGAGAACAATTTCACTGACTTCAATATATATAGCAAGTAAGTGTTTATATAGTACAAGAAACATGTTGGAAAGAAATAGGAAAATGCCAGTAGAGAAAGAAACTAAATTATGCAACTGTACTCAGAAATAAAGGCCCTTATCATTATTCCAATTTCCAGAATTTTTCACTCACAGGCAAGTGTTGAACAATGAGAACACATGGACACAGGGAGGGG